ACCTCCTCTCCTAGGTTCATGAAACGGTCGTCCATAAAATGCATTGCTGTTCTGTTGTAAGTAATCTTAAAGTTTCCTAAATGCATCTACTTTCGGAAGGCCAAATAAAGTGCTTTTGCTTTCGCCTAGAAACACACAGCGTCTCTCTGACATGGCTGCTTCAACACTAACTGCGGTTACTGAAACCACGCCTTCTTTCTTTGCGTGCACATTTGGGCGCATTATGCAAATATTCCCACATAGTGACCTAGATATGTGGGGGCGTGTTAGAACGAGCCGTTTTTGGGGGGTGTGGCAGAGTCTTAACTTTGATAAAGAATATCTCTTTGGTTTTGAGACTTTAGTCTTTGCAACTTCAGGGATCTTATCTATTCACGAACAGCTTGTAACACTCCAAAGAGAAAGGAAAACTTGAAATCGCATCATATGACCCCTTTAACATCAAAATAAATTAAATTCAGTATTATAACGAATAAAATCAGTTTATGTTATTTATGCATCTCGTGTCTTTGTTGCATTGCGTAAAATAAAATAATAAATAATAATAAAATAATAGATATACATAAAAACGTATACAGACCTTTATTTCACCGAAGAATTAGGTGCCAATTAGGCGTGAGAACCGCTTTCTCCTAAAGAGGATGCAAGCAGCCCGCGCTCTGGTTGTTTCATCGGAAGTAGGGGGAGGGGTGTATAGTTTCAGCTGTCAGTGAGATTGCCACTAACCCAACGTCTGGGTAACAAGAAAACTACCCAACACTGGAAAAAACGACCCAACAGTCTCAACCCTGTGGTTGTGTAGAAGAAAATAACCCAGCATTTTTTAGAGTGCAGTGTTCTAGTTTTAAATAAATATATTAAAGACATTTCTTAAATTATATATTTTTTTGTAGGTTTCTGCAAGTACTTTTTATAGGCGATGAATCTTTAGTGCTATAATTTATCTATAATTAATTTTGGCACTCCTTAAGAATTATTTTGATGTCTCTTGATGTCAAACCACAAAGCCAAGTTATAAACACAAGCTGCCAAAGTACATTCTCTTCAAAATAATTTTTAATGTTGTCCTTACTGCAGTATGATTGATGTACTGTTGCGCCACAAGTTTTATTAGAGCCACAACAAGTTTTATAAGTCACCGCCTGGATATGACTCAGAATGATTGTGAATTTCAAATCTAAAACTTGTGAAATCATGAAAACAATTGTGAATTTTATAATGTAAACCTAAAACACCTTTCCTGTTTACTCAGCTTGTGAAATTTAAATATGACAAAACTGTTGTTTCACCTGTTAATGTCGACTTACTGTATGTGACTTCCCTCTGATGTGTTATGACACGTGGACATCTGTTTATTGTCTTAATCGATACTATGACTATTATTCTCTCTGATTCCTCACTACTTTTACAGTCATAATAATGTCTTTACTTTGGTTCTCTGAGAATGAAAATCAGTCATCATTTAGTCACCTTCATGTCTTTAGAAACCCATTTGACGTTCTTACTTCTGTGGAACTCAAATGGAAAAATTCTCAAGAATATCCTGGTGGTTCTTCTTGTTTCTCTCCCGTTCAATTACAATGAAAAAGAACTGGTGCTTTTAAGCATCAAACAGGATGCAAAAGCAGTTGAAAGTTTTGTGTAAAGAACAGCCTGAAATTGAAAATCTGGACATCAGACTAACTCAAGATAATGAAAGAGTTAACGATGTCTGAGAATGTGCTTTTGAGTCTGACCTTTTCAATTAATCAATTCATTCGGCTCACAAAATCAATCGGAATAATTCATAAATCGGACAGATCTGGTTTGTCTGTTCCTCACTTCAAATTTTTTACTTATACTGCGTATAATATGCACCATTTTATGATATTTTATGATACTTTTATGTCATTTTAAAAGCTTGAAAGCTCCAGTCCTCATTCTGTATGACTGCATTGAAAAAACCACCAGTACATAATTTCAACGTGTCTCCTTTTGTGTTCCACAGAGGAAAGAAAGTCATATGGGTTTAATTTAATTGCACAATTTTTTTATAATTCAAACATATACATGTCTCATAATGCCAATATTAGAGTTTGTACTGTGTCAACAAAAGGATCAGGTGAACTTATTGGTCAAACGGGAAGTTCATCACGAGTTCAAACCAGAGGCTGAAACGTGAATTAGACAAGCCTGATTGTGAGATCTTTTTATGTGTGTGTTCATGTGTTTGTAAAGACCCTCCGAATGCATTGATATCTGGCTATGAGGACAACTGGTATGCTGAAATGCAAGGAGCCGCACTACAATGCAGCGGTCAAGGAAATCCAGAACCTCAGCAATTCAACTGGATGAGGTAAAACTGTCTGTCTATCTGCCTCTCTCAATCTGTTTGTTTGTTCATCTTCCTGTAAGCCTGTCTTGTCAGTTTAATTCTGTTTCGGTTGGCTTCTCTATCGGCATGCCAGAGTAATCTCTAGGTGTGAACGAGAAGGTTGTGGCCTAAATTCACGAGTGAGTTTTTAATCGACTCTATCAGATAGGTAGAATCTTAAGAAGTAATACTGACACTGAGAGGTCATTGAAATGCATTCATGAACAATAATTAGTCACAGTTCCACACCTATTTTTTTGGTATTTTTCAGTACGGGTGACTAAGGGGGTGTAGACATGGACATTTAGATGATCACGCAATTCCTGAGACAAACATTCTCTGGTTTTCTCCTCCTCTCCACCTCGAGTGGGGAAACCTGTTCTCTGGCTCCTCGGTGTGAATGCAAAGTAAATAAAGTAACTGTGGCCTGGTGTCGTGTTGCAACTTGCACGACAAACAGACAGAGCGCATTTTCACACGGAGGGAGAGAGCGGGGGATGAGAAAAGGCTGGTGAGGGGGAGATGACTGGATTTATGACGATGGTGTCAGGAGAATTTGCCTGCGTGTTTATGTGTGTTGTCGGATGAGTCTTACCACTGTCCTCATGCAAATTGCGCCGTGCTGTATGAAAAACATGTAACTTATAGTTCCTGGTATAAGCTGTGGACAAAGTTCTTATTGTCTACGGAAGCACTGAGTGGGCCTGTTTATGATTTTAGCTAAATAAATAGGCTTATCAGTTTTTAAAAAGGGGGAGAAATGCACTTGGCGGAACTAAAACAAAAAATCTGGCAGGTGCCAACATACGTAGTTTGCTTGGCAGCCCTCATTCTTAAGCACCATGCAAGGTAAACAAAACAAAACAACTACCTAGACTACATTAAATTTTACATGAAATTATTTTTGATTTTTTTTTTTTTTTTAACCAGTTCAAACCAGAGGCTGAAACGTGAATTAGACAAGCCTGATTGTGAGATCTTTTTATGTGTGTGTTCATGTGTTTGTAAAGACCCTCCGAATGCATTGATATCTGGCTATGAGGACAACTGGTATGCTGAAATGCAAGGAGCCGCACTACAATGCAGCGGTCAAGGAAATCCAGAACCTCAGCAATTCAACTGGATGAGGTAAAACTGTCTGTCTATCTGCCTCTCTCAATCTGTTTGTTTGTTCATCTTCCTGTAAGCCTGTCTTGTCAGTTTAATTCTGTTTCGGTTGGCTTCTCTATCGGCATGCCAGAGTAATCTCTAGGTGTGAACGAGAAGGTTGTGGCCTAAATTCACGAGTGAGTTTTTAATCGACTCTATCAGATAGGTAGAATCTTAAGAAGTAATACTGACACTGAGAGGTCATTGAAATGCATTCATGAACAATAATTAGTCACAGTTCCACACCTATTTTTTTGGTATTTTTCAGTACGGGTGACTAAGGGGGTGTAGACATGGACATTTAGATGATCACGCAATTCCTGAGACAAACATTCTCTGGTTTTCTCCTCCTCTCTGCCTCGAGTGGGGAAACCTGTTCTCTGGCTGCTCGGTGTGAATGCAAAGTAAATGAAGTAACTGTGGCCTGGTGTCGTGTTGCAACTTGCACGACAAACAGACAGAGCGCATTTTCACACGGAGGGAGAGAGCGGGGGATGAGAAAAGGCTGGTGAGGGGGAGATGACTGGATTTATGACGATGGTGTCAGGAGAATTTGCCTGCGTGTTTATGTGTGTTGTCGGATGAGTCTTACCACTGTCCTCATGCAAATTGCGCCGTGCTGTATGAAAAACATGTAACTTATAGTTCCTGGTATAAGCTGTGGACAAAGTTCTTATTGTCTACGGAAGCACTGAGTGGGCCTGTTTATGATTTTAGCTAAATAAATAGGCTTATCAGTTTTTAAAAAGGGGGAGAAATGCACTTGGCGGAACTAAAACAAAAAATCTGGCAGGTGCCAACATACGTAGTTTGCTTGGCAGCCCTCATTCTTAAGCACCATGCAAGGTAAACAAAACAAAACAACTACCTAGACTACATTAAATTTTACATGAAATTATTTTTTATTTTTTTTTTTTTTTTAACCAGTGCTACTATGACAATAGTATGGACAAAAAATATTTTGTGATCAAATCACTAATGAACTGAAAGTGATACTGATCAGGGACATTTTAAGTTGATATTCATGAAATAATTAATCCAAAAATCAATTGTTATGTGCAGAATCCTACAGTATAGATTCTGTTGTTTTCACAGTACAGTTTGTGGTCAGTAACACTTAAAAAAATGAATACTTTTATTCAGCAAGGACACGTTTTATTGGTCAAAAGTGACCATAAAGACATTTATAATGTTACAAAATATTTCTGTTTCAAATAAATTACATTCTTTTGACATTTCTATTTATCTCAAAGTACCCTGAAAAAAAATGCATCGTGGTTTCCACAAAAATATTAAGCTGTTTTCAACATTGATAATAATAAGAAATGTTTTTTGAGCAGCAAATCAGCATATTGGAATGATAGAAGGATCATATTAGAATGATTTCTGAAGGATCATGTTCTGGTACAGATCAAGGACATATTCAGTTAATAATTAAGCATAAATTATTTATGTGTAGAATCCTAGACTATAGATTCTGTTGTTTTCAATGTCTGTTTCTGATTGTGGGATTGAATCATATTTCGTTGTTCACACAGGAAAGGTGAAGCTCTACCAGAGGGTGTGACTGTGGACGGTGGCACGCTGCACTTTTCCAGGCCCCTGAGCTTGACAGATCAAGGAGTTTATGTCTGCACCACCACCAATCTGGTGGGATCTGGAAAAGCTGAGATTCTAATAAATATATCAGGTGTGTATAAAACCCTTCACCCATGTTGAAGTGCAGTGCACCGTGCTGTCATCTAGTGAAGATAATATGCAACTGCGATTTTCATAATCTAGCAAATTATAATAGTTCATCCAAAAATGAAGATTTTGTCATTATTTACTCAACCTCATGTCGTTCCAAATCTGTATGATTGATCTGTGGAATGAAAAGTATATGTTAGGCAGAATGTACAAGCTGCTGTTTTCCATAAAGTCATTCTCTAAAAGAACAAAAGCACCATAAAGAAGTCTGTATGACTCATGCACACAAATGATGACAGAACTGTTGTATTTGAATACAATTGTAATTCATAAGTTTTGTTGCATGTTTCTTTCAGAGTCGCCTCCGAGTCGCACACCAGTGAACTACATGCTGATTATTGTTATTGCTGGTGTTGCTGCAGTGATTGTTGTCACTCTTATCATAGTGATAATTTCAGTAAACCGCTACTATAAGCGCAAAAATCAACAACTGGCTATAGAGCTGGATGCAAAAAAGTAAGAAGATTTGTCTTACTTTTTGAACATAGAATAATTTACATGACTGGTGTGATTATGAGAATTCCTGTACTGCACACCTGTACTTCAGTCTGTCTCTGTCTCACTGTCTGTGTAAGGGAGGAAATCAACACTCTATCAAGACAAGCCTCGTTTAGGAGAGTCAACTCAGGAAGCACAGAAAACAGATACTCGGTAAAAATACACACACAAAAACTGTTTATTGATATTCCAAGGTTTGGGGTCGGTACAATTTTTAAAATGTGTTTAAACAAAGTCTCTTATGTTCACCAATGCTGCATTTATTTGATCAAAAATAAAGTAAAAATCATAATATTGTGAAATATAGTTAGTTTGTTAGTCTTCAGTGTTACACGATCCTTCAGAAATCATTCTAATATGCTGATTTGCTGCATAAGAAACATTTTATGAAATGTTTTATTTGAACTGCTTGTGTTATCTATTTGGCATTATCTAATGTAATGACATTCATACATTTTTAATGTATGACATTCATACATTAGCTTAAGTATCTAATTGCTTTTTGGGGCAACTGTATATATTATGTACACAAGGATGTATATTATTGTATATTGAATCTCCCTCCCTCTCATTTTACCATTTATGTCTTCTTTTTAAAGGACGACAATAATCCTTTAAGAGTTGAAGGGACAATACGCACAAGTTTCTCCTCACTGGTTGGTCGATTTTTTCATATGCCATTTTCAAAAAACTCTTTTATACATTTACCAGTCACACTCTGCAGTTATTCGTTGTGATACACAATATAATACATTCTTAATTATCTTCACAATTATAAGGCTTGTTTTGTTTTTACATTAAAAACCCAAAACGTTTACTTTCACAGGATCGTTCTCGCTCCAGGGACAGTCGTTCCACTCTGGGAGGGGTGGACTCACTCGGTCGCCCTGCAATTTATAACACGTCCAGAAGAGGTCGAGAAAAACTCATGGACAGAACTGAAAGAGAATCCACTCGGTTGATGATGGAGTCTTATGAGCAGGACAGTAACATGTCACAGGTATGAGATAAGATTCATGAGGCTTCTTGCGCGGTTGATGTATATTGCCATTTTCACAAATAGAGCTGCAATTTGTTGAAAAAGAACACAAAATAGTTTCCGTTTTTTTCTTCGAAAAATGGTTAGTGAATAAAGGTGCTTAACCTTCCTAAAGAAAATGGTGTTCATTCAGATCAGAAGAAATTGTCTTGAATTCATTTTATATAAGGTTTGCATTTTTGTAACCATGTTACTTATTAAATATTGTTTTTTAATAACTCTGGGATAGCTAGTTTGGGACTAAATGTTGGTTTGTAGTTATTGGGAAATGTATATGTCCCATACACTACTGTTCGAAAGCTTGAGGTCAGTATCTTTTTTTTTTTAATTAATACTTTTATTCAGCAAGGACACATTTTATTTTATTCTTTTGGCTTTTCTACTCATTAAAAAAGTGTCATGGTTTCCACAAAAATATGAAGCAGCACAACTGTTACAACATTGATAATAATGAGAAATGTTGAGCAAAACAGAATATTAGAGCGATTTCTGAAGGATCATATTACACTGAAGGCTGGAGTAATGGCTGCTGAAAATTCAGCTTTGCCGTCACAGAAATAAATTGTATATATATTATATAATATAAAATATAGTTTTTTATTGTAATATATTGTAATAATGTTTCACAATATTACTGTTTTACTGTATTTTTATCATATACATGCAGCCTTGGTGAGAATTATCAGCTTCTTTCAACCCCAAAGCCCTTTTGAATGGTAGTCTAGATTTAACAAAAAATTGTCTTACAATTCTTACAACTTTGGACCAATGTTGGAGTTTTGAGTTTGGCAAAAATAGTCAAGGCAATAGTGAAAAAAAAAATGAAATGAGAAAATGGCATTTATTGTTGAAGTTACTGTTTCTACAGTTAAACTGTGGTAATATCCACCCACCATTTATTATTAAAAACTTGTTATATGGTTAAAATTGGCTGCTTTTCATGATTTGTTAAGTTATGTTAAATTAGTTTATCTAAAATGTGCCTTAATTTCTTTAAAATTGGTAACAGGACATCAAAATGTACCCTAATTTTATGACACCTTTCTAAGGTTTTACCCCAAATTCCATGCAAATACTCTAATAAAAACACTTTTTTATTGTTTATGATCTGATAAATCTAGTTCTTAAAGCTTTAGTAACTCTCAACGGTTTAGTAATGCTAACACAGTTAAAGTGCCCCTATTATGCCATTTTTACGGTTCCTAATATTGTTTTGGGAGTCTCCTACAATAGGATTACATGCATGCAAGGTCAAAAAACGCTTTTGTTTTCTCAAAATATGCATTTAATATCACCTCATTTTCCAGCGATTCTCAAACGATTCGTTCGAAGCAGTTCAAAGATTCAGTCTCTCTAAACCCCTCCTTTCCGTGAACTTGCTCTGCTCTGATTGGTCAGATGGCCTAGTCTGTTGTGATTGGTCTACGGCGTACAGCACATGTGGGAAACGATACGCCTATTTCAACAGTTCTGTATTTTGAATGCTCTATAGAAAGTATAAACATCTATTATTTATCATACTTACAGGTTGTGATTCAGTGGAGCAGCTGGTCCAAATAAACAGGATACTGATCCATCTTTCAACAGCAAGCGTTTTGTGAATCCCGCGTTGAACTCCCCGAGATTAGAGAAGCAGTCGTCAGTAGAATGACGTGTTTGTGGGTGGGGTCAAGTAGCCGGCGGGCCGGCCAACGTAGAACATAGGCGCGCATTATGCAAATGTGTTACCCCATGACGTGTAGCCGTCACAGAAGTGGGATTCGAATTACTAACGACTCGTTTCAGCTGCTCAGAGTCGATTCTTTATTTTGGGAGACAATAACTTTATTTATCGTGCACTTTCAGCTTTACAACTTTGCAGATCGTTTAAATTCACATACAGCTACATTACACACTGCATGAAAGGCAATATTGGAAATGGCATAATAGGGGCACTTTAACATATGCTTTATCAAATAATTGTGCATGTGCTGTGCTCATAATCACATATTTACAATTATGCTATTCAGGAAACCCATCTTCTCCCTCCTCTCCACCCCTCTTCTTATTCAATGGAACAGGCTATTGAAATTGTCCGGTCTCGGAACGGCAGCGCCATTCTCCCAGCAGAGGGGAGGCCACAGTCAGGAGGAAGTAGCAGAGGGGGCAGCAGAGGGCATAATTCGCCCTTAATATCCACGTACCCGACTCTTACAGATGAGGAGGAAGAAGATTCTGTGAGCCCTACGGATTCAGGAGTCCACAGAGGTTTAATGGAGCCTGACGGTTATGAAAACGGCGGCAGCGAGACGGCGAGTTCTCAGATATCTGAGGCGCTATCCAGTCATTTTGAGCGCACTAATGGCACACTGCGGCCCAAGTCGAAACCCAATAACATCCTGCTCCCGGCCCACACAACACTTTTCCTTCCACCACATAGCCCAACTATCCACAAAGCTCAGATCGTTTAGAGGGTTTGTTTGGAAACGTCTTTATCGCAAGACAAAGTCATCGCAAAGCCACATAAACACAGCTGATATTACAACAGAAGGATGTGTTCCTCTGTAATTTCACTCTTCAAAAGACTGTGTCTGGACAACTAACCTGAAAATAGATCTTTTGTTTGAACTTCTATATGAATACTTTCTCAAGGTGGCAAAACATGGACAGAATGGCCATCATCTTAACTAAAACCTGCTAAACAATACCAGCATTACTCAAACAGTTCCTCAAATAATTGCATAATCCACTGTGTATTCTGGAACTGGGATGCTTGAGTATTATGGGTCACAACATGTGTTTCAGGTACAGATTAACTGGAATCCGCCAGAGTTGAGCTCCTCTGTGTGACCAGGGAATGGAATTAAGATCTTTTTTTATTATTATTGCAACCTAAAGCTTCACTTGAATTACTGTTGATGGAGAAAATACTACATGAACTCTTTTCTGGCGAGTTAATCCTTCACTGTGACTTTTTGCTCTTGATGTCTCTAATCCAGAGGTGTACAAATGGTGTTTAGACATATTTTTTTAATATATGTGTGTATTATGTATTTTGACTGGAAACTACCCACTGCATGAATAGTATTATGAAGTATGGCATTACCATGTTATAGGGATGCACCGATACCACTTTTTCCAGTACTTGCCGGATACAGATACTTTGATTTTTGGTACTTGCCGATACCGAGTACCGATACCGATATTTTTATTGCATTTGTAAATGTTTTAAATATTGGGTACAGAAACCAAAAGAGTATGTATAATGTTAGTTGGTTAACTTCATTTATCAAATAGATACAGTCAAACCTAAATTTATTCAGACACCTTCAACATTTCTCACATTATCACAGTTTATTCGCTATAGTTTAGAAAATGGTAATAAAATATGACAAGAACTCAGAGTTAAACTCTTAAATTCATCTTGATAATGTTAGGTTATGAAAACGGCTCCTGCGTGTTCACAGAATGTCATTGTCGTTGTAGGAGTGACATTGTCATTGTTTACAACATTTATCAGAATTAGCTTTATTCGCCAGGTGTGCGCAAACACACAAGAAGATTTATACTTCATTATGTACTAGTAAATGTATTTAGTTTTAATAAGCGGGTAGTATTACCGCAAGCTCCTGAGATACTCCTGTGATCTTTCTATCTTACAAAATATAAAGCCATGGGTCCTGATGGTAACTTTGGTGTATTTAATTCACTGCAGTGTATGGGGGTTATTAAATCATCCCTAACAACTGTGTGTATGCATGTTAGATTAATTTCAGAAAACGCAATGTTGAATCGGGACATTATTGTTCAGTGCTTTTCAGCCTAAATTTGAACAGCACAATCTGAGGTGTGATAAGAAACTTTTTTTTTTTTGAACTTTTCCATTTTGAATGAATGGAAAATTATAATAATTTATGTTTCCCATTCCTAATATTAACAATAAGTTCAATAACAATTGTATAAACTGGTATTTTAGTGTAAGCTATTACCTTGGTACCCAGTGCTTGGCTGTTAGTGCAGGAAACATATATTTATGAATAATGTTAGGAACGTTTGTTTTGACTTTTATTTTGAATTTAAACCTGCCTTTCAGTCGCAGGTCTTTTTACTCCACTGTCATTCTGCATAGAATTGCACTGCAGTTAAAGTGATCAAATTGACTAAAACTGGCTCTAAATGTGGAAGAAGATGAAAGAAACAGGTGATACCTTGGAAATGGCAATTATATTTTTGCCAGCAGGTTTCCTCACAAAAAGAAAAAATATATATGAAATGTTTTATTAAATAGTGCTTTAAATTAATATCTTTTTGCAAGTGGAGAACATGCAGTAGACATAGGCTTTAATTAACTCTAGGCTAGTAGTACATAGTTCACTGTTTTAAATAATGCAATTTTGAGTAGTCACAAAAGAGCCCAGAACGGGACTTTTATTTAGTCAGAAGGCGTTTCGCCGTCCTGTGTTGTTGACTGCTCAGTGCTCACCGTGGCGAGCTTCACACATCGCTGCTTTTAATTCTAGGCACATTCGCTGAGGAATTTACCAGCCATCATCTTTTCTCCTTCACTGGTGTCGACGCTCTTCCCGATTTATTTTAACTTCCTTAACTGTACAGTTTTGTTCAAAAGCTTTGTATATCTTTTTAAATATACAATTGTGCATTTGTTTTCCCTGATCATATGGATTAATTTGTCGATGCCTGCTAAAATTGCCTGGACACATTTGTTCCACCTCACCATGCAGAATATCCCGGCGATAACGACACACTGCAAGGATTAGTGTAGTTTCTGAAGATCACTGCATTTTTATAGATCATATTTACCGGAATCGCTTTATTCATTTTAGCAGGTTTTTCTAAGAAAAGGAACAGGGAAGAAAGGAAAGAAGGACACCCTCAAGCAGAGGTACAGTGGACTGAATGAATGTAACAGCTCATTTTTGCAGTTACATTGACAGAATGTGTTTTGTCTTCCGCATTTATGCGCTTACGGCCCTTGATTTAATTTAATTATTTAGCAATACTATATATAAATCTAGTATAAAACACGTACATGTAATCTTTGTATTCATATTGGTTACGTGGTTACACTACAAAAATATAAAATTAAAAAAAAGTTTTTACAATTATGCTACAATTATACAATTTAATGAAAGTGTGACCACTGACATTAAATTAAATTCCTGCATTTTTTTTTTTTAGATTCCTGCCTATTGGTTACCACGTTGATTCTTGGCAAACAATCCCCTCCCCCCCCCAATAATAATATTTTAAAGGGGTCATATGATGTTGCTAAAAAGAACATTATTTTGTGTATTTGGTGTAATGAAATGTGTTTATGCGGTTTAAAGTAAAAAAAAACATTATTTTCCACATACTGTACATTATTGTTTCTCCTCTATGCCCCGCCTTCTGAAACGCGTAGATTTTTACAAAGCTCATCGTTCTGAAAAGCGAGGTGTGCTCTGATTGGCCAGCTATCCAGTGCGTTGTGATTGGCCGAATACCTCAAGCGTGTGACGGAAATGTTACGCCCCTCACCATACTGTGATGCCCTGTCCGGCCGGAGCGACGAGACAAAAACATTAAAACCCATTACAAACGCATTATGCAAATCTTCCCACATAGTGAGGTAGATATGTGGGGGCGTGTTAGAACGAGCCGTTTTAGGTAGGTGTGGCTGACTCTGAACTTTTATAAAGAATATCTCTTTGGATTTGAGACTTTAGTCTTTGCAACTTTACAGATCTTCTTTATGCACCAAGAGCTTGTTACACTCCAAAGAGAAAGGAAAAATTGAAATTGCATCATATGACCCCTTTAAAACACTAGCTTATAATAATAAAACTACTTATACAACTTTTAAAAGAGAGACTTTTTTTAAAATTCCACCATGATTTTGTAATTCAGAATTGAAAATCATAATAGAAATGTGTTTTCATTTTAGTATGAATTGCTTTTTCAATGTATTTTTTAATAACTTAATTGATCCAGAGCAAAATAGTGTAATGTCACTGACCCATGTAAAAGAATAAAGAAGATTGCAGGATTTGAAGTGATTGCTCGCTCCTAGAAAGCACCGCTTTAGGATGAACAAAGTTGTAAGCTATTTATATTGGGATGTTTACGGTTCGTTTTACTGTTTGGTATGGCTTTATTGATTATAGTTTTATCACATTAAAGAAAAAAGGGAGGGTTGAGTTGTCCAAAATCCATTACACATTTACATTCTAATGAAATCTGTTGACTATATATTTGGAGTCCAAATATCATCAACTCATGATAGTCAGTAGATTTCATTAGAATGTAAATGTGTAATGGAAGGTAATGGTTTGTGGTTTCTGACTTGAGCTGTGTCATGTTCATCCCTGCGCAGTCACAGACACGTGAGAGCTGCAGCTTTCTAGAGTTTCATTGGACAAGAGGGGCTCTCACTTTTACCTCAATACTTAAGCCTATCTGACCTAATAGCCTAGTGGTCAATAGAACTGAAAAATAAGATAATATCACATATTTTATGTGATACACCATATTATTGCTAGCATTTTTGAGATTATTGCCAAAAATAAACCAGGGTTTATATAATTAATTGGAATAATATTTTTATTTTCATGTTTTTGAAAGAAGTCTCTTATGCTCACCAAATTAAAAAAAAAACAGCATTATTTGAAATAGAAATATTTGTACATTTGTACAGTATCTTTTGCATTTTTTGCCGTTACTGATATTTTCCTATTTAAATCTTGTTAAAAAGCCTATAATAACCTTTAAAGCTAGTGTGACAACATGCTCCACTTCTTGGTCACAAAATGACAACTTGTGTTCAATGAGCTGTATTTTTTTGTCGGACAATAATTATGGTATTTTTAATAGCTGCACAGAACATTTAAAAATAAATGTGAGTATAACATAAAGGCTGTTTTTACCTAATTTCAGCTTGCTGGGAGGTATTCTAGGTATTCATAAGTGATTTAAGAAATTTATGATTGAAGTTTGAAAATTTCCCATGGATGCATTGATGTCAATGCAATATTTGCATACTGAATTGTGATTGGTCTTTTTTTCTAGCATGTATTTGCATACCAGATTGCAATTGGGTTTTTGCTCTCTTATTGTTACTATGTCCATTTAAACTTGATGTCTTATGTTATTTTATGATTTGTTAACACAATTTATTTGCTCTGTTATACTCATATAATGATATTTCATGATTCATTTATTTATTAATGACATCTACTAACTGTATATGCCACTATTCTTCCCACAGCCATGTCCTTCAGGAGGGGTGTTGTCAGGCAAAGTAAGTTCAGGCACGTGTTTGCCCAGGCTTGGAAGGCTGAGCATTGCCTTGATGATGTCAGAGTATCACGCGTGACATGGGACGGTCCACTGTGCGCTGCCAATCCGAAGTTCATTGCTGTTGTCATTGAGGCCGGAGGAGGCGGAGCCTTTCTTGTGCTACCGCTCGCCAAGGTTGGCGTGCATTCAATAACAATAGCAATAACAATGCCTTAAATATGCCCTAAGGATTTATAATTGGCATTTTACATCATTTATAATCAAACTGGTTCTGCTCACATAGTTTCTGTGTCTCTTACCACTAGAGCGGTCGAGTGGACCAGAACACCCCGACCGTGTGCGGTCACGCCGCTCCAGTTCTGGATGTGCAGTGGTGCCCACATGATGACAATGTTATTGCCAGTGCCTCAGAGGACTGCACTGTCAAGGTTTGTTTCATTCCCTTTAACAAAACATACACGTCAGTTACTATTTATTATAACTATTTATTGCATTAATATAGCACCACTGGGGCTTCACATGGTGCATAATGTTAGTTTTGTTGAATGTGAGTGTTTTAGCAGTTGGGTAGGCCTAAATATCACAATTTCCACAAGAAATATGAAGCAGCCCAATTGTTTTCAACATTGATAATAATAAGAAATGTTTCTTGAGCACCAAATCAGCATATTAGAATGATTTCTGAAGGATCCTGTGACACTGAAGATCAACTCGTGTATCTAAAAAGACATGTGCCGTATTTTTGCATAACAGATTTGGCAGATTCCTGACGGAGGTCTTACATCTCCCATGTCTGAAGCTGTTGTGACTCTTGAGGGCCACAGTAAAAGAGTGGGCATCCTGGCCTGGCACCCTTCTGCTCTCAATATCCTGTTGACTGCAGGTAAGCTCTTCCTTTGTGTATATACTGTATATACTTTGCCGGCTCACAGTGCTTGGATTAAGTCTGTTCTGGCACACTCTATTTTTGGCGTGTGCTCTAATTCTGGTGACTTAAATCGTTTATCAAGCCCTAAGTTTGGATGTTGGACTTGTTTGATGGCTTTGTGCACCTTCAAAGTGAAAAGACAATAGAGCTGTCAATCGATTAAAAATAAATAAGCTGATCTCAGATGTCTACACACCTACATGTAAAGAAGTAACATAAATAAATCTCTGATCTAAAACTGAACCGTTTGATGCACAGATTGATTTAAAGGCTTGTGCACGACCAGACAAAGTAAGGTGGCTTTGGATTGATTTGCATTGGCATGTAAATATCTGAGATGCAAATCTTAGCTCTTAAACTGGCCAAATGTTTTTTTTTGCTGACCTTTTGACCATCTTTGATCTTGCTTGCCCGTGTTCTAGGATGTGATAATGTCCTGTGTGTGTGGGATGTGGGCACCGGGGAGGTGGTGTACCAGCTGAGTGATGCACATCCAGACCTGATATACAGCGTGAGCTGGAACCGTGAGGGCAGCATCCTGTGCACCACCTGTAAAGACAAAGCCTTACGAGTCATTGATCCCCGGCGTGGAACAGTTCTTAAGGTCAGCCGGTTCGTTTCTGAATCCTTAAGTTTCTGCATCAGGGTTTCCCAACCGGGGCTTTGTGAAGAAATACACAGACAGATACAGTACCATTCACAAGTTTGGCGTTAGATTTTCAAAATATTTCGGAAAAAGGTCTCTCATGCTCACCAAGGCTGTATTTATTTGATTTATTTAAAAAAAATGCAGTTAAAGCTGTAATACTATGAAATATTATTTATATTTAAAAGAACTGTTTTCTATTGTAATATATTTTAAAATGTAATTTATTCCTGTGATGTGAAGATGAATTTTCAGCATCATTACTCCAGGCTCCAGTGTCACATGATCCTTCAGAAATCATTCTAGGTACAGCAGATTTTAGTGTAGTAGTTTGAATATTCCTTAGGCCAAGATGAAACAGGTGTACAATGTAAACATGGACATTAAGTGCACCTGAGGACTAACAGGATTATTCTAAGAATGTTTATTGAGTGGCCTGACAGCTGCTGGACAGAATCCGCTCTTTAATCTGGATGTTTCTGCTGTTAGTGATCTCAGGCGTCTACATGAGAGCAGCAGCTGTTTTGTCCTAGGTGGGACGTGTCCACGATGAGCTTTTAGCGTGTGTGGATTTCCAAGGAATCAGCTGAGGGGAAATCGATCAAAATAGAATGTGATCTCAATAATTAATTGTTTTAATCAATTGAAAGCATTCATATTCATTGGAAGATTAGCATTACTGGTCTGCCACATGTCACTGCAGTTCTGTTTGAGATATGACAGACTTGTGGAATTGTGTATGAATATAATATTAGTGAATTAATACTTTAAATCAATTTGAAAAAATACATTTTGTGGCTGCCTCTAAACATAAAAGTTTCCAGTTAGTTTAGGCTTTGCAGCTGTCCTTTTCTTCTGCATCAGATCACTTAGGAATCTGTAAATGACCTTAAAGTCAGTGTTTTTGCACAGATATGTGATTTTTTTGTTGTTTGACATCATCTCACATTTAGGTGCGTGAGAAGGCTCATGAGGGCACCAGGCCGATGAGGGCCGTGTTTCTGGCTGATGGGAAAATCCTGACAACCGGCTTCAGTCGCATGAGCGAGAGACAGCTTGCCCTCTGGGACACGGTAAGAACGTTTTGTAGAGGAAAATGGTTGGTCCTCTTTTGTTTGGTCAGCAGGAATTATCCTTTAGAGACTCTGAGGTGAAGCATTAATCTGTTAATAGAAACTTGATTGATCTTTCTACTCACCAATCCCAAAGTTTTGAACCATAGTGTATTTTATAAACAATACCACTTAGAACAGTCAAATGGATTTATTTTAATTTTATTCCATTTAATTGTACTTCCGTCAATGAAAACTTTGACTATGAATTCCAGTTTGCTACCAATATTCAATTTAAATTCCACTTAGCAATCTCGCAGAACACCCTAGCAACCATCTGAGTAATCATGCCCTAGCATCCACTCTCAGCACTCAAGCTACTGTCTAGCAACCCCCCAGAATGCCTTAGCAACTGCTAATATCATAATAATGACCAAGTTCGTCCAGAACACCCTAGCAACAACCTTAGCAACCACTTGTAATGCCCGAAATACCACCACTTAGCAATTGCCAACCACTCAGAAAACTTTAGCAATGGCTTAGTAATGCAAGTGCAAGGCTCATGTAACCTTCAGACTTCAAATTACTATTCAAATTGCTAAAGTATTAAACTTCAGAAGGCCCAGGTAACCTTAAAATGTCAAGACTTTTTCAACTTTCAGACAAAGTTCTGTCAAGTCAACATTCAAATGTGTCTTGACAAGCTTGCATTTTCTAGTTTTTATTTTGTGGAAGTGCAAACATGTGCTCAAACTCCCTCAGTTTAGTAGCTTCAGGACACATGAATAATCAGAGACTCACAAATGATCGTAGTTGACATAAAATTATCAATATAGAGAATCAGTCAATCAATATAATTCTTTCTAATATAGGTCTATCAGATGCAGGGCTTCAGATTTTGGTAGCCCGAAATGAATTTAACTAGCCCAAATAGAAAGTGACCCTATGACCCTTTTTAAGACCTGCACAAATAAAATTAACAACGTATGAGCAGGGTAGGGCAATGTCTATGGTAACATCTTAAACTGTAAAATTACATGATTTACAGTTCACATACAGGTTTTCACAAAAATAAAAACTCTATTTATAAAATGATAAACATCACATTTCAGCCTTTAAACCAAAAGGGATCCCTTTAAGAAAAGGGATGAGTCAAACGTATACATTATTATATTTAAAACAAAAATGTATATATATTAGTGTCTTAATTGTTTAGATTTGTAGAAGGCACATTAGCTTTTTTCACATTTACAACTGCGTGTTTGCTGTGTAAAAATATGGGTCGATTTTCGCATTGTTCTGAACAAAAACAGCAGACGGACTTATTGAAAATGCAAATCACGAATCTGCATTGTAAAAAAAAAAAAGTTGCTCCCTTAAATTTTTAAGGTAGTCAGTTTAGCTGTATAAGTCATTTCACCTTAAATTACAATAAACTGACTTAAAAACATGAGTTGAATCTTGTATAACTTATTTAAAAAAGTTGAAAATTTAAACTTTTCTGAAGACAGTCGTTTCATACATTCATATAAAAAAACACCTGCCACATTAAGCTATATCGCAATTGTCTTTCTGTCCCCAAATTTAAGACCTTTTGAAATTATAATTAAGACTTTTCTTATACCATGTAAAGTATTCAAGACTTTTATGGCCTTAAATTTGATACAACTAAATTGAAGAGTTTTTTTAAGTACCCGCGGGATCCCTGTATTCAAAATAGCCCGTCGGGAAAACACTATAGCCCCGGGACGTCGGGCTAGCAATTTTGCGAGCCCTGAGATGTTGCCTGTCTGGAGCAGTTACTGAGCATGAAATAGTACTTTATGTTTTGATAACCTAGTCAGTATGTGACTACCGCTGTCATTCTTTGTATTTCAGAGAGATCTTTCTGAGCCAGTGGTTACTCAGGAAATGGACACCAGTAACGGAGTTCTGCTTCCGTTCTATGACCCAGACACCAACATGGTTTACTTGTGCGGCAAGGTAGGATTACCCAGCTTTACCCTATCACAGTGGTTCTCAATACCAGTCCTCGTACCACCCCTCTGCACATTTTCTATGTATCTCTTATCACTTCAGACATTTATTCTATTCGACCATGAGTACCCTGGCTGTGGCGTAGCGCAAATCCGTGGATGAATGTTCCGAAGTGAAGTAAACTTCAACGGATTTCCTGTGCTCAGGGAGTAGAGAGCAGTGAACACTGTGTAGGGACCGTGTCAATCGGAACACAGTTCATGCATGGAGCTCTTTTCTAACGAGCTGGTTATCTGAATAAGGTGTGTTAAATAAGAGAGACATGCAAAATGTGCAGATCGGTGGTATGCGAGGACTGGAATTGAGAACCACTGCCCTATCACATCTTAACTGCTGCACGACAGGTTTCACCAGCAACAGAGATATGAACTTACACTGAAACATGCTGTTTACAGAAAACCTGTCTGGCACAATCACTGACTACGTTTACATGGACATCAGTAATCTAATTATTTACCTTATTCTAAATAAGCCAATATTATGATTATGGTGTTTACATGAGTTGCTTTTAGAATATTCCTTTCATGTTCCCGTTTTACATGTTATAGTACATAGTTCGATTAATGGCACACGTCATTACGTCCCACGTGACGCCATCCGACGTCCCCTCCGGAATTTCACGTATAAACATATAGTTCGTCTTCGTGATGATGCCATGTACAGTTTTGGGTGTTTCATTTTTAATTTTATGAAAGCTTCAAGTGCAGTTAATTATTTGTACGCGCATACAGACGATGGCGGTGTTGAAGCTCTTTATTTGCCGTCAAACGGTTGACCACTGCCGTGTGTCGTCCTAC